ACCTACATTGGCTCCCAGTACATTTCCAAGCACAATTCAAAGTGTTGGTGCTGACACTTTAAGCCCTAAACGGCCTCGGTCCAGTAAACCTGAAGGAGCATCTCCACACCCATCGTTCAACCTGGACACTGAGGTCCAGTGCTAAGGTCCTTCTGGCGGTTCCTCGCTGCGAGAAGCCAAGTTACAGGGAACCAAGCAGAGGGCCTTCTCGGTAGTGGCGCCAGCCCTGTAGGACACCCTCCCACCAGATGTCAAACAGAAAAACAACTACCAGACTTTTAGAAGACATCTGAAGGCAGCCCTGTTTAGGGAAGCTTTTAATGTTTAATGGACTATGTATGTTAATATTTTGTTGGAAGCCACCCAGAGTGGCTGGGGAAACCCAGCCAGATGGGCAGGGTATAAATTAATAATAATAATAATAATAATAATAATAATAATAATAATAATGCTTGCTTTTCTATTGAATTATTTGATGCTTCTGCAATTGTGAACTTCTATGTTATCTTCTTTAAAATTTGGGTTACGCTCTCCCTCTAAGGGTGAACCGCTTTGCCAGTGAGGTATAGTCCTGAAAGCTGATGTACAAATAATTAACTAATTAAGAGTACATGGCCCTGAAAGTGAGCTGAAATCTGGAAAGTGTGGTTTCCCCTACACCCAGAAAGAAACTCAAGACACATTTTTAAGTTGTAATATTTATTGAGTAATATTTATATTTATTGAAATATGACAAACTAGAGGATCAGCTAGATTAGCCTAACCGTGGACAAGAAAAAACAGTTTTTATATAAGAGGGAAGCATTCCTCACCCCTGGGCATGTCGATTCACAGGTCAAGTCCTCCTCAGTCAAGGAGTCATTTCATTCTAAAGAGAAAATATTCACAGTGCATTGCCAGCACAAAGAGCTTGCATGTGAACTTCGGTTGGCACGAGTGGTTCTTATGTTTGAATTCAAGGTTTCATAAACGCACACAAACGCATATACATATACATACGTAAGTCCCAAAGTTATCACTTTTTCAAAATGTCTCTTTTTCTATTCTCCCAGTTAAAAAACAAATATGCACAAATACAAGTCCTTAGTTTGGGGCTGGATAATGCCCCCAAAACTTTCGTTTCTGCTGGTAATTTCCATCCCAAGTAATTGTGACCCTAATAAAAGTGACTCTGTGTGTGTGTGTGTTTTAAAAATAATTTTGTTATTGTTTTTGAATGTTACAGATAATCAAAGAAAAGTAAAACAGACAAAACTACCCTCCTGCCCTCTCCAGGAGATGATATTACACTGGGCAACAATTTTTTACTTTTTGAATGTTGTCTAGATTTCTACAACTGATTTAGGGTATTTTTGCACTGCTGAATCAGGAAATGGCATCCGTTTCTCTCCATCAGGTCAGGTTTACTGTAAACTGAATGGTGGGCATTGATAAAGGTAAGTACACATAAATTGCAAGTTGCTTCACCATTTTTCAAACTTCAGGGCTTGAACTTCCGTTTCTTGGAACTCCAGGAATGCTCAGAGGCAGGGAGGTCTCTCTTCAGAGTCCAACAGTAGTCAGCCATCATGACTGTGTCCCAGTGACCCTGATACCTGGTCTCCATCTCTTTCATGTCCTGATGGAATCTCTCCCCCTGCTCGTCACTCATTGAACCCAGGTTCTCAAGAAACCGGTCCAAATGTGAAAATAGGTAGTGCATCTTGACGCTCATGTTGCAGCCCAGGTTTCTGGAAGCAGTCAGCATGTTGTTGCCAAGTTCTGCGTAGTTTCTGGCCTTATTGTTGCCAAGAAAGTTCTTCACTACCAGAACAAATGCCTTCCACGCTTCCAGTTCCACTTCGTTCATTGAGTTTCCGAACTCTGGTTCTCTGATGAGCTGACAGATCTGAGGACCGTCAAAGATGCCAGCTTTCAACTTCTCCATGGTCAATCCTGGAAAAGCCTGGCACAAGTAAGTGAAGCAGTCACCATCCTTGTCCAGAGCCTTGGTGAACTGCTTGATTAAGCCGAGCTTGATGTGCAGCGGTGGGAAGAGTATTCTGTCTCTGTCCACCAGAGGGTCGTTGATGACGTTCCTTTTTGCAAGGCACCAATTCCTCCCGCACAGGCCAGTCCTTCTTCGTGTAATGCTGAGCACGGTCCCTACTATCCCACATGCACAGAAAACATGGGTACTTGGTGAAGCCAGACTGTTGTCCCAACAAAAAGTTCACCATCTTCAGGTCAACACAAATAAACCACTTATGCTGATCATAACCAATTTTCTCCAGCACATACTTCACCGCTTCATAGTTCTCCTTCAGTGTACTCGAGTGAGCCAGGGGTATAGAGGCAAACTGGTTGCCGTTGTGTAGCAGAACACATTTCAGTGATCGCTTGCTACTGTCAATGAACAGACTCCAATCTTTGGGTTCGTACTGTGGCACTCCAAGCTTGAGCAGAAGCTGCACAATATCTGCACAGTACACCAAGTCCTTCTCTTCCGAGAAAAAACGGAAGTACTCTTGATGCCTGTTGTGGAAGAAGCTGATACGAGCACTGTCAGAGAGGAGGTTTTTTTCCTTCAATCTGGATGCCAACAGTTCGACAGAGTCCTTTGACAAGCTGAGGTCGTGAACTAGATCATTCAACTCCTTTTGGGAAAATGGATATGGAGCATCATCTTCAAGAACCACTTCTTCTTCATGTCCTTCAACACTGGAGGCATCTTCATCACTAATGTCAGGGAGTTCTCCGAAGATAGGCACTGGAATTTCATCACAATGAGCTACAGGATAACGTGCTGATTGAAGATCAGAATACTTGAGGCTGCTCCGGTTCTTTCTGTTGATCCCAGCCGCACCAATTTATGGAAGATTTTGAGGTTTTATGACTTCAAACTGATCCCTTTTCGACATAATCACCCAGAACTATCGGACCTGAATACTTCTTGTCATTAAAATAATCATTTCCAATCAAAACAATTATTCGACATGGCATTTTACCCCCACCAACTTCTTCTAAAATGCTCCACACAAGCGTACATGTGAACAAAAACGTAAAAAAAACGACATGTGGCCATAGCTCAAAAACTTGACCTGATTGAGCAAAACCAATGTGATTTTTGGATTCAGCGCATCAGATTCATCCTAAATCAACTGAAAAAATGCAGACAACAAATTTGTTGTTGACCAGTGTTATGGATTAGTGTGAGGCCAGCCATAATGATGATAATAATAATAATAATAATAATAATAATAATAATAATAACAATAACAACAACAACAACAACAACACCCTGCCCATTTGGCTGGGTTTCCCCAGCCACTCTGGGCAGCTCCCAACATAATATTAAAAACACGATAAAAGCATCAAACATTAAAAAACTTCCCTAAACAGGGCTGCCTTCAGATGTCTTCTAAAAGTTAGTTGTTTATTTCCTTGATATCTGATAGGAGGGAGTTCCACAGGGCTGGCGCCACTACCAAGAAGTGACAATTCCAGTCATGTATAAGCTACAATTTTGTTATTCATTTGGATTATTATACTGCCGCTCTGCCGTGAGTCTTGGGGAGGACCGCTCCCCCCTGAAGCCCTTTTTCCACCTTGGGCCTGGGGGTGGGCCCCATACTCCACCACAGCATATAAGACTCCTAGGAGGCCTCGGGACATCGCTGCTGCCGCTCTGCCGTGAGTCTTGGGGAGGACCGCTCCCCCCTGAAGCCCTTTTTCCATCTTGGGCCTGGGGGCGGGCCCCATACTCCACCACAGCATATAAGGCTCCTAGGAGGCCTCGGGACATCGCTGCTGCCGCTCTGCCGTGAGTTTGTGGGGAGGACCGCTCCCCCTGAAGCCCTTTTTCCACCTTGGGCCTGGGGGCGGGCCCCATACTCCACCACAGCATATAAGACTCCTAGGAGGCCTCGGGACATCGCTGCTGCCGCTCTGCCTATGAGTCTTGGGGAGGACCGCTCCCCCCTTGAAGCCCATTTTCCACCTTGGGCCTGGGGGCGGGCCCCATACTCGCCTCCGCAGCCTATGGGGCTCCAGGGAGGCCTCGGGTGTGTGGGGTGGGGTGGGTGTTTAGTTGGGTGTGGGAATTTGTTTAATTTAATTATGTTGTGTTTGTAATTTTGTTTTTTGTTTTTATAGTTTTATTGTTCTGTTAGTTTGATTTTTGTATAGGCTTTAATTTGATTTTAAGGGGAGGGGTCAGGGCAGCCTGGGAGTGGGTCCCAGCAAACAAAATGGCTGGGGCAGGTTCCACAGGGGGGGATGCACTCGGACAACCGATCTCAGTGATCACGGGTAGGAGGAGGAGTTACGCTAAGACCAGACCATGTCATTACCGAGGAAGCAGGCTTAGTCGTTGTTTGAGGACTATCCCTGCTTCCAGGTCTGGTCCTGACCGGAAGGATACTGGAATCAACAAGGGAAACCCACATGACCTGAAAGTGTTGCTGTGCAATGCCAGGTCAATGATGAATAAAACCTCTGCCATCCACGACCTGATTGTGGATGGAGGATTTGACCTGGCATGTGTGACAGAGACCTGGTTGGATGAAGCAGATGGGCCCGTCCTTGCCGCTGCTTGTCCACCAGGTTTCTCTTACGCACAGCAACCCAGGCCTTGTGGGCGGGGAGGGGGGGGTGCAGTGATTTTTAGGAAGTCATTAGTTTGCACCAGGCGTCCTATTGGAAAGACCCAGTTCTCTGAGTGCATGTTCTGGAAGTTGGGCAATAGGGGCAGTACAGGATTCCTATTGGTGTACCGACCCCCCGCTGCACCAAGGATTCCCTGCCCGAGCTGCTTCAGGTCGTGGCGGATGTCCTCCTGGAGACACCTAGTTTGGTTGTCCTAGGGGACTTTAACATCCATGCCGACACGACCTTACAAGGGGCCGCTCGGGACTTCGTGGAAAGCATGGCCTCCATGGGGCTGTCCCTGAATAAGTCTGGCCCAACTCATAGCCACGGGCATGCCTTAGACCTGGTGTTCACCTCTATGGATGTTGGTGATCTGACATTAAGTAAAAGCGAAACCAAAGAAGTGCCATGGTCAGATCACTTCCTGGTGCAACTGGACTTCTCCGTGACCCTTCCCCCTCTGCAGGGAGGCGGGACCGATTCAGATGGTCCGCCCCCGCCACTTAATGGATCCAAATGGTTTCCAGAGAGTGGTAGGGGATGTTTTATCCCATGTTGATGGCCTTTCAGCTGATTCCCTGGTGGCCCGCTGGAATGTGGAGTTAACCAGGGCTATTGACTGTTTGGCTCCAAAGCGCCCTCTCCGATTGCATGGAGTCCGGACAGCCCCGTGGTTTTCCACGGATCTGAGGGCAATGAAACAATCGTTGAGACGGCTAGAGCGCCGGTGGCGGATAACCCATTCTGAATCTGACCGGACACGGGTTAGAGCTCAATGTCGAGCCTACCAAGTGGCGATAGCGACGGCGAAGAAGACTTTCTTCACCGCCTCTATTGCATCTGCGGAAAACAGCAGCAGGAGACTCTTTCAGGTGGTTCGCAATTTAGCGGAACCACCTGCTCCATCAGGGCCCAGTAGCGGCCACATGATCTCCTGCAATGACTTTGCAAAGTTTTTGCAGATAAAGTCGCTCAGATTCGAGAAGAGGTAGACTCCACCGTGGGAGCAGGGCCGGGGCGGGAGAGTGCTAGAGTCCTGTCTAGTCAAGTTGTGTGGGATCAATTCCAATCTGTTACCCCCGAGGATGTGGACAGGCTGCTTGGACGAGTGAAACCAACCACTTGCCTCCTTGATCCTTGCCCATCCTGGCTTATAAAAGCTAGCCGGGAAGGACTGGGCGATGGGCTTCGTGGGGTGGTGAATGCTTCCCTCCGTGAGGGAGCCTTCCCAGACCCGCTGAAAGAGGCGGTTATTAAACCGCTTCTTAAAAGACCATCTTTAGATGCGGCCACAATAGCCAACTATCGCCCAGTCTCAAATCTTCCATTCTTGGGCAAGGTGATTGAGCGAGTGGTTGCTGAACAACTCCAGGCACGCCTGGAAGAAGCGGACCATTTGGATCCCTTCCAGTCGGGATTCAGGCCTCATCATGGGACTGAAACTGCCTTGGTCGCACTGGTTGATGATCTCCGGCGGGCTAGGGACAAAGGTGAGTGCTGTTTCCTAGTTCTGCTGGATCTCTCAGCGGCGTTTGATACCATCGACCATAACATCCTTCTGGACCGTCTTGAGGGGCTGGGAGCTGGGGGCACTGTTATACAGTGGTTCCGCTCCTTCCTCCTGGGCCGTGTTCAGAAAGTGGTGGTGGTGGATGAGTGTTCAGACCCCTGGGCCCTCACTTGTGGGGTGCCTCAGGGTTCTGTCCTCTTCCCCATGCTTTTCAACATCTACATGAAGCCGCTGGGAGAGATCATCAGGGGATTTGGGCTGGGTGTTCATCAGTATGCAGATGATACCCAGCTCTATCTCTCCTTCAAATCAGAACCAGTGAAGGCAGTGAAGGTCCTGTGTGAGTGCCTGGAGGCGGTTGGAGGTTGGATGGCGGCTAACAGATTGAGGTTGAATCCTGACAAGACAGAAGTACTGTTTTTGGGGGACAGGAGGCGGGCAGGTGTGGAGGATTCCCTAGTCCTGAATGGGGTAACTGTGCCCCTGAAGGACCAGGTGCGCAGCCTGGGAGTCATTTTGGACTCACAGCTGTCCATGGAGGCACAGGTCAAATCTGTGTCCAGGGCAGCTGTTTACCAGCTCCATCTGGTACGCAGGCTGAGACCCTATCTGCCTGCGGACTGCCTCACCAGAGTGGTGCATGCTCTGGTTATCTCCCGCTTGGATTACTGCAATGCGCTCTACGTGGGGCTACCTTTGAAGGTGACCCGGAAACTACAACTAATCCAGAACGCGGCAGCTAGACTGGTGACTGGGAGCGGCCGCAGAGACCACATAACACCGGTCTTGAAAGACCTACATTGGCTCCCAGTACGTTTCCGAGCACAATTCAAAGTGTTGGTGCTGACCTTTAAAGCCCTAAACGGCCTTGGTCCAGTATATCTGAAGGAGCGTCTCCACCCCCATCGTTCTACCCGGACACTGAGGTCCAGCACTGAGGGCCTTCTGGCGGTTCCCTCACTGCGAGAAGCCAAGTTACAGGGAACCAGGCAGAGGGCCTTCTCGGTAGTGGCGCCTTCCCTGTGGAACACCCTCCCACCAGATGTCAAAGAGAACAACAACTACCAGGCTTTTAGAAGACATCTGAAGGCAGCCCTGTTTCGGGAAGCTTTTAATGTTTGATGTATTATAGTATTTTAATATTTTTTTGGAAGCCGCCCAGAGTGGCCGGGGAAGCCCAGCCAGATGGGCGGGGTATAAATAATAAATTATTATTATTATTATTATTACTAGCCAGAAAATGTTGTAGTACGAGGTGACTTTGTTAAGGTTGTGTAGGAGCTGAGGAAATAAAATATTTTATGCTGGTGTCTAAAATGTCTGCCCAGTGTGCTAAGGATAAGGCCTTTATCCATTCCTGCAACACACACACCCTGTTGGAATTATGGAGACATTTATTTCAGCTACAGGACAGGGAAAGAAAGGAGGAATGAATGGCTGACCTTTAAAAGGTTATACATCCTTTTAAATACCAATTTTGCTGCCAGCTTTCCTTTGAATGAACATACCTCACTATCCTTGGCATGCTACATACTTCATAAAACCTTGTTAAGTTCTCCAGTCCTTCCTGGTACTAAAGGTATTGATTCTCAATTGCCTAAGCATCACTCAGAAGTTATATGTCACAGCATAAAATGGTGACTTGAGGTATTACACAATGCATCTAAGCAGATCCAGTATCTCTTTGAATAAGAGCCAGATTTCCATTGCAGCCCCAATCTCATGACTGCCCTGCCCCAGACCAGACCAGTCTAGGTAAGCTGAAGCTACATCAGTGTCAGGAGAGCAGCTCCACCCCAACCCATTGGTGGCCGCTACTGATTAACACTATCTAAGGGCCAGGCTGCTGCTGATGTGGCCTGATCAGGCTACATATGATCTTACTGAAACATCATTGTCTTCTTATTGAACAAAATGCAAATGTGTGAGGCCCTGATTTGAACCGGCTCAGTAGCATGAGTGGAGAATGGGGTTATAGAATTAGAGCGGAATCAAGGCCATCTAACCAACTTCCTGTTCAATGTAGGAAATTCTGAGATGGAGCATGTCCAAAAGATGGCTGTGCAGGGTCTGCATTAAGACCTTAAGTGAAGGAGAACCCACAACACCTCTAGGTTATGCATCTATAAACATATAGATGTATAATTTGAAGCCCCGCGACAGGGTGAGCTCCCGTTGCTCGGTTCCAGCTCCTGTCAACCTAGCAGTTCAAAAGCATGTCAAAGTGCGAGTAGATAAATAAGTACCACTCCAGTGGGAAGGTAAACGGCATTTCCATGCGCTGCTCTGGTTTCACCAGAAGTGGCTTGGTCATGCTAGCCACATGACCTGGAAAAACTGTCTGCAGACAAACGTCGGCTCGCTTGGCCAGCAAAGTGAGATGAGCGCCACAACCCCAGAGTCATTTGTGACTGGACTTAACTGTCAGGGGTCCTTTACCTTTACCTTTACCTTTATATATTTCAATAACAAAGTAGTTTACATCTCAAAAAAGTCAATATACATTATCTAAAAAGCAATCTACATTCAATGCAACTGCTACTACCAATAATAAAGGTAAAGGACGTGGGTGGCACTGTGGTCTAAACCTCTGAGCTTCTTAGGCTTGCTGATCAGAAGGTTGGAGGTTCGAATCCCCATGACGGGGTGAGCTCCCATTGCTCTGTCCCAGCTCCTGCCAACCTAGGAGCTCGAAAGCACACTGGTCCAAGCAGATAAATATGTACCGCTGTGGCGGCAAGGTAAATGGCGTTCCCGTGCGCTCTGGTTTCTGTCACGGTGTTCCATTGTACCAGAAGTGGTTTAGTCATGCTGTCCAAATGACCTGGAAAGCTGTCTGTGGACAAACGCTGGCTCCCTTGGCCTGAAAGTGAGATTAGCGCCACAACCTTTTTTTTACCTTACTACTACTACTACTAAAACCCCACATTTTAAGTAACATAATTAAGCAATAAATCTTTAAACAATGTACATAAATGTGTGTGTGTGTGTGTGTGTGTGTGTGTGTATCTCCAATAATACATCAACATAATGCAACATAACAACAATATCTATACATATAATAAAAAATGTAAGGTTGTGTTCATGCAGAAATTTAATTGATCACTCACAGGTGGCACTGTGAACTACAGAATGATGAGAATCAACTTCCTCCTTTGTGGCCTGTCTCAGAATGTGCTGCCACCACTGCAAATGATCAGCTGTAGGAGGAGCGATGGCCGTGGGGAAGAAGATGAGGAGGAGGAGGTGTTTGGATTTGATATCCCGCTTTATCACTACCCTAAGGAGTCTCAAAGCAGCTAACAATTTCCTTTCCCTTCCTCCCCCACAACAAACACTCTGTGAGGTGAGTGGGACTGAGAGACTTCAGAGAAGTGTGACTAGCCCAAGGTCACCCAGCAGCTAACTGTGGAGGAGCAGAGACGTGAACCCGGTTCACCAGATTACAAGTCTACCACTCTTAACCACTACACCACACTGGCTTCCCAGTTTGAATATTAGGTGGTAAAGCAGTCATCAACCTTGGGCTCTGCAGCAGTGGCAGCATGAAGTGGAAAGAGACAAGCAATGAACCGAGAAATGGTAGCAGGCCAGCTTCCAAATCTACGCAGTGCTGGAGTAAACGTGGAGGAAGCCCCTCATATTGCAGGCATGAGAGGAGGGAAAGCCAGAATGATTGTCAGGGTGGCAGTCAAACGAAGAACTGAGATATAATGAAACAGTTAAAACCAGAAGCAATAGCTTCTGCTATGTGAATTAATAATTTGTTCACTCTTCAATATTTATAGTACTTTTGAAGTAGAGAATTAACTACCAGACTATGTTAGGATTTGCATGATGATCAGATAGTACCACACCTTGGGTGAATTGTAAAGCATCAACTCTTCTGAATTATCCATCCTGACTTCAAAAGAGACATAAAGTTACTTCATCTGCATCCGGGTTCATTAACATAGAGAGATAACTGTCTCCATCATGGCTCAGTTTTAAACTACGGTATAGAATAAAGTATGAGTGGCATAATATAGAAAATTAGGTTTAAACTATTGTGTTTATTTAATGGTGCTACCGCATAATAGGAATCCTGTATTGTAATAATTGCAGGCCTATTCAGTTTGTAGCTTGGAGCCGTGGACAATTATTCTTTTAACATGCAAAAGTTCAGTGTGCTATTACGTTTCTTAGCTTTTTGATGTTCAAATTTGGAAAATAATCTCCGGGCTAAAAGTGTCAGTGTCATTAATTTAGTGAAACAGCTCTAGGTAATAACTTATGAGGACTTGAAAGAATTGCTGTGCACTGCTAGCTCAGTGTTCATAAAATTTATTTCAATCTCCATCCTCCTTGTTTGTGCCAGTTGTGCTACTGGAGAGATGGCGGTCTGAGATGCATTTCTGAAGATACTTTTTAAAAAGAGGATTTATTGAACCACATTGCTATTTCACTTTGCATCTGCTTTGAATGCTGCTATTTGGAAATGATTAGATAGAAGAATCAATGAAGATAATACAGCAGATGCAATGTCAAGTTTTAAGTGAAATAATCACTTCCCTGCTCATAGAATACATTTGCAAAAAAGGAAGAAAATTTCTAAGAGAGCTCAAAATATGGATGAGCAGATCGTCCTATTTCCATTGTGTGCTAGTTTTTCATGAATTCAGTCATAAATTTGTTCTCCCCTGTTTTCTGTGGAATACTAAAAAAATGCTCAGAAATTGCATATGAATTGCTCATAATTATCTCTTTTTCTTTTCTCCCATTTTCTCTCAAACTTGACCAGTTCTGGAAGTTTCCCAAGGAACTCTAAATAGGATAAATCATTTATAGAAAGCTTAGACTGAGTTGGTCTTTAAGGTGCTACTGGAACATCTTTCAACATTTTTTAAAATCTTTCATCATTGTTATTTATTAGGATAAATCATATTATTTCAGTTTATTCTCCCAACTTATTTATTTCACAATCTAGCCTATTCTACAAGCAACTCTTGTATTGTTACAATTTAATTAGTGCTAAGCCAAAACCTGTTTTTCACTTTCTCATAGGTTTTCTCCCCTTATGAAAAAGACAACTCATTACCTGTACTTGATCAACATTTTAGCCATCCAAAGATCCATTCTCTCAACAGAATGGCATCTTCCAGGCTAAGATTAACTCCTTTAGTGATCTCTTTTCTTACAGCTATAAAATCACAGGATTGGAAGGGCCTCCCAAAATCGATTCAGTCTAATTACGATAATTAATACCAAAGACTAAGATAACTTATATGACAATTGTAAATAACAAAAAGCCACTCTGATAATTCCCACTACAGTACAGAGGAGGAGGAGACTATTAACAAGAATATAAAAAGTAGTATTTAAAAAGTTAAGAAAATGAAGAGAAAACAGAAGTGTGAAAACATGTTATGAAAGAGAGAACAGTATTAAGCTGGATAAGAACTGGTACTGTCCTTTGAACAGAAAGAAGTGATTAATTAAACAATGCTATTCCTGTTGAATGATGGGCTAAAACCAACTAGTAAAGAAAAAATATTAAAGCAAACATCATTTTTAATCAAGATTAAATACCACACCCAAGAAATTTAGAAACAAAGGGTGGGGGAAGAGAAGGAGGCAATTACCACTCCCCCCCCCAAAAAAAATGAAGAGGATGGTTTTGGTTTAAATAAAGACATACAAGCTCATTAAAAGTTGGATGGAGAAGAAAGATGCAAACATAGAAAAGATGAGAGAACTGTATAAATCTGTTCTTAAAAGAAACACAAAATGAGTTCATGAGCACAAGTCATAGCTTTGGACGACGACAGATAAACAAAAAGCTCTCCAAAAAAAGCAGGAAAAGAAACAAGAAGAAAAGCAAGTAATATAAATGTAGGAATAAAAAATGTTGGTAAATAAAAATGACATCAAGGTGAAGGGGTCTGCAAAAGGAGGGATAGATAAGCAAAGTGCAGCTGATTTATCACGCTAAATCTTAGAAAAACCCTTAGAATTAAAGAACTGAGGGAAGAGAATGAGAAAAATGGTGAAGGGTAAAGCAAAAAATTAACAGCTGGGAAAGGATGACGGGCAGAAGAAAAATGTGGAAGAGATCATTGCCAAAAATGAGATGGTTTATCAGAGAAAAGAGTTAAACGGGAAAGATTGTTACAAGATGAAAGAAATATCAATTTCCTGAAATAACAAAATGTCTCCTCTCTCCCTCTCTCTTTCATTTTCGTAACTTGTT